CTATAGCTGATGTTGCATATCAGATGATTTTGAACCATAGATCTAATACCACCAACTAAATACGCATATATATACATGGATGTGTGTATTATTATATGTAGATCATTAGTTCAAGATCACTCGATATATTTCACCAGGTGTAGCATCTACAAAACTATAGATATTACACATAGTATGCTCTGGACCGCAACATTTTTTTTAATTTTTTTGTTTTACACCCCGTAACTCTTCCTCAGCTAGGTTTGGGTAGAATAAGCGAGCAAGTACAAGTATTAGTAGCATAACAAAAATACCTGTTTCGTCATTAATATGTTTGCTCGCGGCAATTGTGAACTCTCGGGAGAATCTTCGCTCCTTTTCGAAATGATAATTATCTCAAAAATAAATTTTGCTTTCCCATTTTCACTCCAAAAAAACACGATGTCTAGACTCTAGACATTGGACTTTTGTTATTTGGAAAGATGAGAAATAATCCAAAAGTATAATAGATTTTCCCTTTATTCCTCATATCCAAAGTATTAGGTTACGTTCAAAGAACTTAATCAGATATTTTAATATCATGTTATATGTGTTTATATACATGTGTTGTGATTGCCTATATATTTAGACTTCGTATGGTTGCCAAGATATGATTAGTCATGACAAAATTAAATAATCTAATGAGTAATGACAACCCAATTAGTTTATATATCGGACCCGAAAAATATCCAAAAAAAAACTCCTTAAAAAGCAAGATAAATTGTGATAATACAATATTTGCGGGTCGAACAGACAACTTATTGGAGATACCAAACAATAAACACAATTCGATTTTTTAGTTAATAACAGTTTATCTCCCCAATCAAACGAGGCTTTATACATTCTTCTACAAAAAAAAGTAAAAAAAAAAAAAAAAAAGAATAAAAGAAAAACCATCAACAATTACTTCCACTAGCACCAATTTATCATATATTCAAATATTACAATTTTAACAGAACACATACATACAGAAACAACTTTATTTTGTACACAAATCCACCACCAATAACCGCATATAAAAGAATGTAATTACTGATAAAACATTTCTAGTGCTTCCGTATCATCATCAATTCATCATCATCGTATCTTATTGTTTCATTAATTAAATCCAATTAATTAATTAATTAATTAATTAATTTGGACTTTAGCACAAGTGGGCAACACTAAAGGCCAAAATCTATGATCCTTCTCATGGGTTTCTTGCATCATTTTCAAAGGTAGCCATCATATGCTATCAATATACTTATTCAACTTTAAAGTAATGTATATATGCCTCGTCTGATTGTCAAGATAAAATGAAATAATATGAAGAAACTCAATTATATTATTGTATATTGAAATGTCCGATTAAAAAACATGTTTATAATAAACTATTGTAACATAATATTTGCGGGTCGAACCCAACAAGCTATTGAGAATACCAAACATCAAACAAAGTTTAATTATTTAGGTAATAATAGCTAATCTTTCCAACCAAGAGAGACCTAAAACTTAGATATTAAAGCTCACAATTTTAATAAATATGTACACAAAATAATGAAGAAGAACTAATAGTGATGCATTCATTTGTCGTCTAACTTTATTATTAATTAAATTAATTAGCCATGGCGTATTCAAGAAAAGAAAATTCATTAAAGAAATGAATATAATCATGGTTGACAAGGATGGCTAAATCCATGCGTACGTTACCGTTTTTCAACAAAATCAGTTTAAGTTACGCTGTTTGTGAAGTGGATTCATGTCAGCATCAAATGGAAGCTCAATTAGTTTATTTAAAACTATAATTATTAGGGTAAATTGCAACCACCCCTGAAGTATGGTCAAATTACGAAAAACCCCCTCTTATTAGGGTAATTATAACCACCCTTCAACTATAATTTTTCCCGACATCTCCATCCTTATGGTGTCAAATTCAACATAATCATCTAGATATCGTGGAATGTGCTCTAGTTTGTACTCTTTTTGTGTAAAAATACAGTTTATGATGCACCACAATATTATATATACAAGCCAAAAAAACACATATTACGATCATCTTGTTTCAAAATGTGGAGTTCGAATGGGATAAAACGGGTACAAAAGTGATAATATTCATACAATATAATCTTGAAGATTCCACTAAATTTGAAGCCGCAAGGGTCAACGTGTAAGAAGATTTATAGTTGAGGGGTGGTTGAAATTACCCAAACAAGAGGGGGGTTTTCGTAATTTAACCATACCTCAGGAGAGTGGTTGTAATTTACCCTAATTATTATAGAGGTGTTACCGGAATTCTAAAGTGACTGTCGGCAGTGTGACTACATTCGGTGAGTTTAACATTTGTAATCTCCGGAATTCTAAAGTGACTAGCAAGAGCGTTCGAACCACTTACTTGAATTCTAAAGTGACTGTTGGCAAGAGGATTCGAACCTGAATCAATTGACACAAGTTCACTTGCTCCAACCACTAAGTTATCCCTTGCGGAACAAACAAATTATATATTGTTGAAAATAGAATAAAGATGTGGACATGCTTTCTACTCTAAAGTCTAAAGAAATATTACTTTTTTTTTTTTTTTTTTAAATCAAGGGATTATAAATGATTTATATTGATCGGATGTATTATAATTAATAAAGTTATTGAAAGATGAATTCAAAAGACATTAGCATCTCAAATGGGCTTAACCAATGATTTGCTCCGAAATAGTCGAGATGATGACGTGTCTTCCTTGGACGATATTTTGATGATAGCTTGCCGGAAATTCCGCCGGGGGAGTACCTGCAACACCGGGAGGGGTTTCCCGGCGTAGAAGCTCCGACGATCAAGTCAGTTTTTATCCGGAGATAATCGAGTGTAATATACAAGAGAGAGCCTAGAGATCACGTCATCATCTCGACTATTTCGGAGCAAATCAACGAACAACCCCAATATCCCATGTTAAACTAGAAATTCTGATGGCCCATAATAAAAAAAAATATCGAACGCGTAATAAATACTCTCTGCCTTTTCTCTCTCTATCCTTGCCGCACTGGCAGAGCAACCAATTTCAGGTGCCGCTAAACCTTTATCCGGGCGGTCACAAACCAATTATGCTAATTGGTTAATCTTCATACAATTGACAACGGTCAAGACCAGGGTCAAAATTGGGAAATAAGTCAAAATTGATGAATGACATGGGGTAAAGATCATGAATTGTGGCTTTCTAAAGGATTGTGGAATCATTTTTGTTATAAATATTAGGGTGGAATTTGTTATTAATTCGGGTTGAAGGGTTGAGTTTATTTTCGAAATAAATAATATGTCCTTGTTATATATACTTCTTTGTGTCGGGGCCTCCACGTAATTATCCCCACTTATATTAGGAACACAAGTTGAAAAAGTTTACGGACAAACGACGAATAAGCCCATGACAAACCTAATTAACTAAAAATTAGGCATCTAAGTTTTTTATTTTGCAAATAAAATCGCTCTTCCAACACTTATTGATACTCAGGAAAATTATGGCAAATATACCAAAGTTACCCATAACGCTTTTAAACACCCCCAATTAGGGGTGCAAGTTGGAACGGAAATTCCAATTTCCGCCGGTTCCGATCCGAAAAGTTCCGATTTTGGAACAACTTATTTCATTCCGACTTGCGAAATTCCGATTTCCGAATTTTTCCGATTTTTTTGGATTGGAATTGGAATTATATAAAATAAATTTGGAATTTCCGATTTCCGATCCGATTTGATTTCCGAAATTAATTCCAAAAAATTCCGATTTTTTTCCGAAAAATTCACCTATAATACTTATTTTTTTTTTAAAATACACCTATAAGTTTGGTTTTAGGATTTTGACATAATGAATTGTTGTTAGAAGTTTTATTAGATATTATGTTGTGTTTATTTTTATTTATTTTTTGAACTGAAATTTAGTAGTTATTAATTTTATTTTTATTGACGTGGACGTTTCTTATTTTTGAAAAATTATGAATATTTTAGAAAATTTTCGCTAAGTTTTGAAAAATTTAAGCTTATGTGAATTCCGATTTTTTTTCCGAAATTCCGAAATTTCCAGGTCTTTTGGAATTGGAATGAATTTTTAGATTCCGAAAATTTTGGAATTGTAATTGGAATTGATTTTGTACTTCCGAATTTTTTTGGAAATTTTCCGAAAAGGCTAATTCCGATCCGATCCATCCGACTTGCACCCCTACCCCCAATTCATGATGTAAACCATAAGTTAACTCCACTTCGCCAATTCATCCGATTTTACACATTTTTCGTTCGACGAATATTCGAAAAAGAACCAAAAAGGATGGTTGGTCAGCCTCCACACCCAAACTAGACATGCGAAAGGACAATCTACACGCCCAACTTAGTGCTCGGCTATACATGAATTCCAATGCCCAAATTGGGAGTGTATTGTCATTTATGACGCCCAATTCGGGCTTGAGTATTTTGTAATAACCTATTTGTTTAACTCGAGAGGTGGGTTAATAGATTGGCCGAGGGCGACCGCTGTTAACCTTGGTATCAAATTGGTTATGTTTAACTCGAGAGGTGGGTTAATAGTATCAAATTGGTTAAACGCAGTGTTACGACAAGATTATATCTCAGGTGTGATCAATATGAGATCAAACGGGTAAGGTCAACGAATTTAGATATGGAGAGTATCAAATGGACCGGTATAAGAAATTCAATTGTTTTTTTTTTCAATTAGTTGGAGTCTAACATTACGGGGATAGACGAGAATTTCGAAATGTTAGATCGGAGGAGACATAATCCCGCAGGCAGACGAGCCGTGGCATGCGCCGATTAGTAAATTATAGCAGGACTATTGAAAAATTGACAAACTAATAATTATGTGATGTTTGCTATATGATCTTGACATCAGTTTAAATATTAAATTTGCTCCAATCACAAATATCAAATGAATTACAGAAGTTGTACACACCAGACAATACAATCAAACAGAGACAATCCAAGGAATTGCAAACCATTCGAGGTATAGTCGACGATTAACAACGAAGGCAAACGAAAAAAAAATAATCCAAAACTTCGTAACTAATATTCGATTAAATCCAGGCACACTGCAACAAATACAAAATTCCAAGAACTCCATTTAAATAACCAATTCCAAGAACTGATCATAAACGGAAGCACCTAAAAATCAACCCCCCGTTACTAAACTAAAACACCAATCAAGATTCCCCGAAATAAAATTCGATCAGAAAAACTAAAACCCGTTCCTCAAATCATTGTAACAAAAGGAATCAACCTCAAACTCGTTCCCTACTTTAGTCTTAACAGTCACACCATCGACTCCGGCCACAATAACCGACGTGGCTAATCCGACGAACATCCCATGCTCGACTATACCCGGCAGCCTCAGAATCCGATCACTCGCCTCGTTCAAATCGCCGATATCCTTTTCAAAGTACAAGTCAATTATATAGTTCCCGTTATCGGTCACGTACGCCTTGTCCGTACACCCGGCCGACATTCTTAGTTCACCGACGCAGCCGAACGAATCGACGAGCCTCTTCAACGAGTGGTTCCAGCAGAAGGGGATAACCTCCACGGGCATAGCCAGCCGACTACCGCCGACGTAGTCCACCATTTTCGACTCGTCGACGATCACGACGAACTTCTTGCTGGCGGACTCCACCATTTTCTCCCTGAGTAGAGAGCCGCCGCGGCCTTTGACCAGATTCAAATTCGGGTCGACCTCGTCCGCCCCGTCGATAGCTAAATCGATGACCGGGTGGGAATCGAGATCCGATAGGGGAATGCCGAGCGAGACCGCCTGCTCGTGGGTTTTCATGGAGGTGGGTATGCCGACGATGTCTTTGAGCTTCCCTTGCTTTAGGAGCTGGGCGATGCGGTCGACGGCGTGTTTGGCGGTGGAGCCCGTGCCGAGGCCGACGACCATGCCGGATCTCACGTGCTCCACGGCTTTGTAAGCGGCGATCTTCTTCAATCGTCCTGCGTGAGGACGACGGGAGGGCACGGCGGAGGGGCGGCGGAGGGAACCATTAGCGCCGGTGGGTCGACCGCGGCGTCGGACGCCAAGAAACGTGGGTAAGCTACGGCCATTGCTGCGAGCTAAGGTGTATATTATTTATACACACCATACAACAAGAGGAAGATGAAAGAAACCCTTTTTTTTTTGGGTTAATTGAATTTGGGGGAGGATAAGAAATTGAATGGCTGGGAGATTTGAAATTAGTACGACAAAAGGAAAGATCTCTTTTGTTGATGTGTAAATGAGATAGAGAGAAATGATTGTAGATAGATATGCGGAAGAGGGTTGCTTGGAATGTGTGTGGTTGAGATATGAGTGGAGAGGAGATAAGGTGTTTGTTAAATTGTCTGTGAGAAAATGTGATTAGGGTTTGGGTGCAGGCGGCGTGTGGTGAAACGCGGAGGAAAGGCGCTGAAATGTTTCAGCGTGATTGGGGAGGAATCAATCCTACACGCCTCCTGCTATATATGTCAGAATCATAAATCGTATATATATATATATCTTTACCGGAATTAGAAATTGAATAAAAAAATAGGCAAATGGTAAATAGACACGTGACAAGGGCACTTAATTAAAATTGGTAATTTTTTATAAACCCTTCGTTCTAAGATTATATAGGTCCTAGTCCAAGTCATAAGTCCTATTTTTTTAAACCCCTTACTAATATTTTTGGCTAATTTGCCCTTTGCAGCAAAATAAGAAAATTCCCTTTTAAATATAATCATCCAGCAAATCAGTTTTTTGGCTAAAAAATAGACAAACAAATATCAAATCGTGAGATTGAAACTGCAAAAACTCACCTCTCGTTTCTTTCAACGCACCCTATAGCAATAATTCTCAAATCGATAGAAAGGGTTGTATATTTTCACACCGCCATCGAAAGGGAGACTGCGAAAACTCACCTCTCGTTTCTTTCAACGCACACAATAGCCCAAATTCTCAGATCGACGAAAAAGTTGTAAATCTGCAAACCGCCACCGAAGGAAAAAATCTGCAAATCTCGTCAATTGAAACATGCAAAAACTCTCCCCCCTTTTCGTTCAACCCAAACTCTGTAATCATAGCCACTTATTGCTAAGATCGATAGAGAGTCTGTAGATCTGGAAATCGAGAAGATGGCGCAAAATCGAAAACGTACAGTAATTTGCTATATATTGCATTTTTTTTGTATTTTTTTTTAAATCGCGATTCATTGACGAAATACAATGGGTTTTTTTATGAATGAAGTGAAAGACAGAGATTTGGAGCCTACGACCCCAGGTAATAACTTTGTTTTCTGCAAAGAATTTTTTTTTTTTGTTTGTTTTTCATTTTGCTGTTTTATGTTTATTTTGTTGTTTTTATGTGTATTTTGCACTTTGATTCTTCGACCCCCGTTACCATATATGTTTTTATGTGAAAATCATTGGTTTCTTGCTTTTGATTTTGCTGTTTTTTGTTACATAATTTTTTGATGTCGATTACAACATTTTATCGGTTTTTGTTTGGATTTTTTTTTTGTTTTTAGCATAGTATATTTTGCACTTTGCTGTTTATTTTGGATTTTGCTTATATGATGCGTATTTTGCTTTTATATTATAATTCATTTCGACTTTTTTGTTATCATAGTACAAGTTGCACTTTACTATAATATTTTGCAGTTTGGTGTCGTAACAAATGGTTTCATCTATCATAACAAAATACTTGTTGAAAATAACGTATTGTCATTGTATCGTTTGCATTTTGCAGTTTGTTGGTGACAATTGCCTTTGGATATGGTTATTTGCATACTTTTATTTGGTTGTTGCTGCCACTATTTTGTCGATATTGTTGTAGTTTATATTTTGCATGTTGTTGTCTGCAACTTGACGTTTGTTGATGTTGTCCCTTTAGACGGTCTTGATTTTCACTTTTG